TATTCACTTTGGCAGGAAAAAAAACCCAGAAAGGCAGAATATTTCTTAAGTGGTGAGATATTGGGAAGTGTGGGTGTTGAAGGGGATCTAGGAGTCCTTGTTCAAGAGTTACTAAAAGCTAGCAGTAGGAAGAAAGCAATAGGAAGGCAAACTGTATATTGGTGTTAATTTCAAGGGAGTTGAGTATGCAGTAAAGTATAGAGCCTTGGTGAGACTGCGCCTGGAGTACTTTGTACAGTTTAGGTCTTCTTATCTAATGCAGTATGTGTTTGCCAAAGAGAAAGTTCAACAAAATTCACAAGATTAATCCCTGGAATGGCAGGATTGTTTTATGAGAAGAAATTGAGGCAACTCGTTACATTATCTCCAGAGTTTCGAAGAATGAGAGGTGATCTCATTGAAACTTATAAAGTCTTATGCGGGTGAGGCAGGATAGATGTAGATGGAATGTCTCCCTTGATTCTAGAACCCCAAGGATTTAATTTCAAACAACATTAAGGCTGTTTAAGACAGAAATGAGGAGGAATTTCATCTAGATGGTAACAAATCTTTGAAATTATATACCTCAGGGAGTACAAATGATCAACATGTACAAGACAGAAATTGATAGGTTTCTGGAGACTAATGGTATATTGGGATATGGAAACAACGTGGGAAAGTGGCATTCGGATAAAAGATCAGCTCTGGTCTAAATGAATTGTTGGGCAGATTAATGGGTTTAGTGTCACAGTCCTTTTCCTAAATTCCTCTGTTTCTAAAGTAGCCTAATATTAAGGACAGATTGCAAGTTGGCTGGATGTTGAATGTAGGATGTCCTTACACTGAATAAATCAGAACTGCAAGATATATCAAAGGAAAATTTTGCTGTACAGTTCCAAATTCTAAAATTCTAAATTCTAAAAGAGAGTTAAAGAGCCTGGGTCTCAAATCTGTGGCCATTCACATTTGTCTCTAACAAGAAGGAGAACATTTCAGAAAAACAGGAGGAATTAAAAAAAATGACTTACCTTTTTAGGGTTTTGTATTAGGCATTCATTCTGTATGAACATTGCTATTCATTCCCAAAAGTGATCTAATCATCTTTTCTATTTGGTGTGCATGTACTGCCCAATATACAATCACATTGTAGTAGAGCTAAGGATATATCAGTACATTTCACATAGTTTTATGTTATTTCATTCACATTTGATCTGAATTGAATTTCACGATTTTCTGCATGTGCGCTTCACCAAATGTTTTGAAAGTGACCAAGAAAACACTTAATAGGTGAAAATTTTATTTCAAAGCAAGTGAACATACAGAGCAACCAAATATAATAATGTTCCACCATGTTTCCTATCTTTTCTGTTCACTCACCCATGCTGAAATAAAATCTAAGATTTCCATCATTAGTTGTATCCAGATACGGCGTGCAAATACTTCTGTCTCCATCTTTGAGGAACACAAGAGACGAGCCTGACTCCACGACATTGCACTCAGTGCCAATGACAGCTCCTGATATTTCCCAGCTGTAGGGAGACGGAATGCAATAATCAGTCAGCTTGGTCTGTTTCTGCTTTGTACTTTAATTACAGCCACAACAACACTTAAACCCCACTTGCCTTTATAAACATCAGCAGCACACACTAGAGCTGAAAACTGAGAAAATATAGTTTAAATAAGGTTGTCCCAACATAATCCGACAGGCTTGATGAAAATAAGTATTAGGAATGTTAATGTAAACACATTTTTATTAGCACAGGGCAAGAAATGAAACATGAACCTGGGGTTTAAAGGATACAACTTGTGGAATGTGAATTTACTAACAGATATTTGAGTGAACAGAAGAATCTTTTTCCTATAGAAAATTGTTTACAAGAAAGTGACATTGATGATTTTCAGAAATAAATATCTGGATTAACAAGTGATTTTAAATACTATATCAGATTAAAAAGGGATTAAGTTGATGATTCGCACTGCAAAACAAAGCATTAATTGGAGGTCTGGTCAATCCAGACAAAAGACAAGGGCATGTCTAACTGCATAGATTACAAGAAGTCAGTAGTTTGAACAGCAAGATTTTTCTCTCACAGATCTATCTAAAAGCTTAATCTCAGTGGAATCTTGGATTCTCAACTAGAAGACATTGCATGTCTACCAATGCTGAATTCAACATCAATATCAACTTCTGACATTTACAATAAGAGAAAGGTAGGGAAAAATGGAGACAAATTAAAATAACTTCAAATGCCAAACACCGGAAACAAAACAGAAAATCCTAGAAATGAGAGACAACAAGATGCAGGGCTGGATGAACACAGCAGGCCAAGCAGCATCATAGGAGCAGAGAGGCTGACGTTTCGGGCCTAGACCCTTCATCAGAAAAGGGGGAGGGGAAGGGGGTTTTGAAATAAATAGGGAGAGAGTGGGAGGCGGATAGAAGAGGGATAGAGGAGAGGATAGGTGGAGAGGAAACAAACAGGTCGAAGAGGCGGGGATGGAGCCAGGAAAGGTGAGTGTAGGTAGGGAGTTAGGAAGGGGATAGGTCAGTCCAGGGAGGACGGACAGGTCAAGGGGGCGGGATGAGGTTGGTCGGTAGGAGATGGAGGTGCGGCTTGAGGTGGGAGGAGGGGATAGGTGGGAGGAAGAACAGGTTAGGGAGGCAGGGACGAGTTGGACTGGTTTTGGGATGCGGTGGGGGGAGGGGAGATTTTGAAACTTGTGAAATCCACATTGATACCATTGGGCTGCAGGGTTCCCAAGCGGAATATGAGTTGCTGTTCCTGCAACCTTCGGGTGGCATCGTTGTGGCACTGCAGGAGGCCCAGGATGGACATGTCGTCTGAGGAATGGGAGGGGGAGTTGAAATGGTTCGCGACTGGGAGGTGCAGTTGTTTGTTGCGAACCGAGCGTAAGTGTTCTGCAAAGCGGTCCCCGAGTCTCCGCTTGGTTTCCCCGATGTAGAGGAAGCCACACCGGGTACAGCGGATGCAGTATACCACATTGGCAGATGTGCAGGTGAACATCTGCTTGATGTGGAAAGTCTTCTTGGGGCCTGGGATGGGGGTGAGGGAGGAGGTATGGGGGCAGGTGTAGCACTTCCTGCGGTTGCAGGGAAAAGTGCCGGGTGTGGTGGAGCTGGAGGGGAGTGTGGAGTGGACAAGGGAGTCACGGAGAGAGTTGTCCCTCCGGAAAGCAGATAAGGGTGGGGAGGGAAAGATGTCTTTGGTGGTGGGGTCGGATTGCAGATGGCGGAAGTGTCGGAGGATGATGCGTTGGATCCGGAGGTTGGTGGGGTGGTACGTGAGGACGAGGGGGATTCTTTTTTGGTTTTTATTGCATGGACGGGGTGTGAGGGATGAGGTGCGGGAGATGTGGGAGACACGGTTGAGGGCGTTCTCGACCACCGAGGAGGGGAAGTTACGGTCCTTGAAAAACGAGGACAACTGAGATGTACGGGAGTGGAATGCCTCATCCTGGGAGCAGATGCGGCGGAGGCGAAGGAATTGGGAATAGGGGATAGCATTTTTGCAGGAAGGTGGGTGGGAGGAGGAGTATTCTAGGTAGCTGTGGGAGTCGGTGGGCTTGAAATGAATATCGGTTTCTAGGTGGTTGCCCGATATGGAGACAGAGAGGTCCAGGAAGGGGAGAGAGGTGTTCGAGATGGTCCAGGTAAACTTAAGGTTGGGGTGGAAGGTGTTAGTGAAGTGTATGAACTGTTCGAGCTCCTCGTGGGAGCACGAGGCGGCGCCGATACAGTCATCAATGTAACGGAGGAAGAGGTGGGGTTTAGGGCCGGTGTAGGTACGGAAGAGGGATTGTTCCACGTAACCTACAAAGAGGCAGGCGTAGCTTGGGCCCATGCGGGTACCCATGGCTACCCCCTTTGTCTGTAGGAAGTGGGAGGAATTGAAAGAGAAGTTGTTGAGTGTGAGGACGAGTTCGGCTAAGCGGATGAGGGTATCAGTGGAGGGGGACTGGTCGGGCCTGCGGGACAGGAAGAAGCGGAGGGCCTTAAGGCCATCTGCATGGGGAATGCAGGTGTAGAGGGACTGGACGTCCATGGTAAAGATGAGGTGTTAGGGACCGGGGAATTGGAAGTTCTGGAGGAGGTGGAGGGCGTGGGTGGTGTCACGGACATAGGTAGGGAGTTCCTGGACCAAGGGGGAGAAAATGGAGTCTAGATAGTTGGAGATCAGTTCGGTGGGGCAGGAGCAGGCGGAGACAATGGGTCGACCAGGGCATTCAGCTTTGTGGATTTTGGGAAGGAGATAGAAGCGGGCAGTGCGAGGTTGGGGAACGATGAGGTTGGAGGCCGTGGGTAGGAGGTCACCTGAGGTGATGAGGTTGTGGATGGTTTGCGAGATGATGGTTTGGTGCTCAGGGGTGGGGTCATGATCAAGAATCCTAGAAATGCACAGGTTCATTAGTTAGTGCCTGTAAGGAAGACATGTTCATGTTTTGATGGGGCCATTAATAAGATATAGATGTCAAGAAACAAAGAACTTGCATTTATATAGTACCTTTCACAATGCAACATAATAAAAATGAGCAAATAAAAAGGATCCTAAATTTGATTAATTAATTAATTTAAGATTATTTTAAACTCTCAAAATCCTTTTATCATTTGCCAACATTGTTGACTTTTATTTTAATATCTACACGGATCCACTCAACCGTACATGCTGCCACTGGAGTTGGACAGTTTCTACCTACACAGCATTCAATGAAAATAAATACAAGCAATTGTAAGGAAAACCTACAGTGGGAATGTTCACTAACTCTTTGTTAGGGACAATAAATCTAAACTCTCTCTCCATATCTTCAATAACAATTAACACTTACATAACACCTTTACTACAGTAACTATCCTCAGACATTGCTAGAGTAGGAGGAGAGGGAAGCCATCAACAAGCAACAATAGAAGAGTTACATTAATATTACAAAATAGAAACAGATGGTTAGGTCCAACCAATCCATGTTGCTGTTTATTCTCCACAAGTGATTTGCTAATGTAATCTCCATGTTATGATTACCTTTTATTCAATTCTCCTTCATTCACCAATCCAACCTATTTTTAAAGACAGGCGGCTGAACTTTTGATTGGCTGTGGGTGTGCCACAATATGGAGTTAGGATGTAGAAATGCACCCAATGACAGAGTCTTTACTTTTCAACAAAATTTCAGCTCCACAGTACTGCTGCACTAACTCATGTTCCTGCATTCCACAGACTTATTATGCTTAGTCTCAAAACCATAAGCAGAAATAGGAGACGCAAGGCACAACTAAAGAGCTAGATTTTGAGAAGGTTTATAAAATTGGATAAAGTTTCAGCAGTCAAGGCTAAGACAGCGAAAGGTTGTCAGCAATTGGACAGTGAAGGGAGAAGGGGTGCACAGGGAGTTACTGTCAGGAGGCTGGAATGTACAAACAAGGACATGGAGATGGATGGGATCTCTGAATGGGACAAGGAAACAACACAGACCAAGTTGCAAATGAAGATAGTAATGTAGATGGTGATTGTGGATGAAACAACAGTGTTAAGGGTCAGCATGTAGATTAAGCTTCACAGCGAGGTAGCTACCTCACTGGTTTGACCTCTGAGAATTCAGAATTTGTACACATTTTTGGTTAATTGTGGTGATAAAAAAACAGTAGTTAGTCTTAAGGGAAAGATCGCCGTAAACAACTGTTTGTAGTAAAAACAAATCCATGCAGTTTATTCCCTTCAAATACAGTAGATGCTGGAAATATGAAACCTTCCCCTACAATACACACAGAATACAATAAAAAATTACTCAGATTAAAATTGCTGGTATCTTAAACATTATAGAATCTCATAGAGTTAACTGAAGATTGAAGTCTTCAGGGAGACTGTTGCATAAATATCCTTGTGCAGTCAATTGAATGAGGGTAGGCACTGAGGAAAGGTGAAGGGAATTAAATTCCCTACGCTGTCAAGTGCTTTTTCTATAAGCGAGTGTAAAGAAAACCTTTTAGAGAAACTCTGCAGCAAAGAACTGAGAGAAGATGATTTAGTTTTTTCATGCTACGAAGTGAATAGCTGCATTTATTTCCTTCTGAAGTCGTAATAGCAATAAAGAGTTAAAATATTGTTTCCAATGGATCCTTTACATCCCACCACAAATACTTAATCCTTTTTCTCAGCAAATTTCTTTGACATGTAGCTGTGGTTTAAATATGTATGTTTGGGGCTAAAGCAACTCTCCTTTGAATCTCACTTATCCCCTCGATAACTGTACACATATTCAGAATACTAGAGATAACAAGCACTTACCCTGCAGGCTGACTTTCAAACTCTTCCACCCACTGTGTTACACTGCCTTCAGTCCAAAGATCAACATCCCTGGTTGTTACAAAGTTAAAATCAGTGCCCTCAGTCCCATGGAAATACATGGAGTTACCATCAGATTGACAGCTATGCTGTGGAGGGAGAGACAGAGTGCATTACAAGGACTCAGGACATTAGTTTATAAACACAACAATCCCAGGCTTCAACAAAGAGAATTTTGAAGAGGAATTTCAATTATTTATTCATTATTGCCTTAAGCATGAAGACAAATTATGATGGCAGCATCACAGTAAAAGACCCCAGAAGCTCAATCCCTCAGTCCCAAGAATCATTGTGATAAATAGAATATTTATTTTCATGAGCGTTTAATAGACTAATTATTTAAAGCAATAATAAACTGAAAATGGTCCATTTCTATAATGACAATCATTTTAACAACAATTTTTTTGTTGATTTCAGTCATTTCAAGTTTCTAAGAACTATAGTTTCTAACTTGTATGTCACTCTCCTCAATCCAAACTAATCTATGGCTTTAATAGCTCTTTTATATTGTGCTGTGTCTAGAAGACAATGCATAGTTTGTATTAATTAAGGCCTTTGAAATGCTACTGGTGCCTACTTGGTCTTATGCTTTAAATCTCTACGCATAGCATCAATTCTTTTGGGCTTTGCTATGGATTTATACAGCTGCTTTCTACTTTCAAGGAATTATATATTGGATTCCCTAGGTCTCTGTTCAGCTACACCCTTCAGTATCCTTCCATTTCTGCACATTTGATTTTCCTTCCACAATATATTATCACAGACTGCTCCACATTAAATTATCCCTTCCACTTGTTTTTCCATTCTGTTAATCTGATTATGCTCTCTCGAAGCCTTTTGCAGCTTACTTGGCCAGACCACCGATATGGATTAGGTAGATGATGGGATTTGATCATGAGGATCAAGCTGCAGTGGATTCAGGACTTGCTCCCTCACTGTATCTGTGGTGGATAATATGACGCGGTGGATCGGACTTGCCTTTGGACAGAGAACAGAAGAACGTAGCCAGACACATGAATGGGTAGGGAATACAGGAATGCAGACCATGTTCAGGCAGGTGGATTAGTTTAAAATGGCATCATGATAGGCACTGACATGGTAGGCTGAAGGGCCTGTTTCTGTGCTGTGCTGTTCTATGTTCTATGTTTTATGTTCTATAAGATTAAGAAGTTAACTTAGAAACTGAACTAATTAAATAATTTTACTGTTAAATCTGTGCACCATCAATAGTTTGAAATAATTACTAAGCTATCAGCTTGGTTAAATAGGAAAAATTCTGCGGCAAGATGCCTCATGTTATTAAGAATTTGATCATACAATTACCAAACCGTTAAGGTAACAATCTACTTAATATGTAAGTTCAGTCATTTTGCTTCCTGTTCATTTGAAACATTCATCAAATGATATTTCTAACTTTAAAATAAATCCAGCTATCTAGCATTGACAGATGTATTAAGATAAATCTGAATTGCTCCTATACATCTTACACCTGAAATGGTGTATCAAAAGAAAGGGTACATCTTTCTGTGAACAGAAAACCTCACAGTGCTCACACAATGTTTGTGGAATAGCAGATGTAGTTGTGTGAGGCGCTGCTTTCACCTCTGGAATATCTCTCTTCAATCTATCCTGGAGCCATATGAATAATAGATCATTTCTGTCTGATGACTTTTAAGAACATGGTCAGGGGTGAAATGAGTTCCAGTAGACTGAATTCAATGGTGAATGAGATAATAGTTAAAAGGACAGTAAAACAAATATATGGCTTATGTTCTGACAGATTGAAAGGGTTCACTACTAACCACATCTGTCTATCTAACAGCTTGCAATAATTTAGACTAACTTGTATATTAAAACAAAATAGCATGGCCATCTTGTACTAGTGAAATAATTATTTCTAACATATTTCAAATTTAGACAGAAAGCTTGGAGGTGAGTTAGTCCTGGAAGGACACCGAGAAATCCAGAGGATGGTGTTGAAATACAACAATACCAACAGAAGCATGAATCTGTTAACTTGTATGAATTAACTCATGACCTCAAAGTTATGACAACTGTTCAACACAAGGAGAGAAGACATGGATCGAATTAACATATCGAAGAGTTTGAAGGTAAATGGCAGCACATGGAGGTTAGTGAAATGCAAAAAAATCTTTAAATTCCTTTTTAACTGCCTTTAAAGTTTCATCCAAGAAATATTAAATCCTTCAAAGTGGTGCAGAAACCCACCATGATACTGATTCCTACTGCCAAAATTTGAAGAAACATGTTGAGAAACAGACTTTTTAGCTTTGGAAAGGAATGAATATGAGAGGTCCTCCTGGGTGCATTGAAGACATTAGTAATATGGAAGAGGCAGATCCAGAAGATTACTACAAAATAAGCTGCAGGACTTAAACAGCACAGTATAAAATAATGAAACTTAGGACAGATGCTGACAATTTCCTATCTGTACAAAAGAGATGAAGTCACAAGACAGACTCTCAGGTATAATAATGGATAATGGCAAAACCTTGCAATCATTTAAAAAAAAGAGCTGGCTGCTGTATAGGGGACTGTAGGTTATTTCTGGATGGATGAACCAGGGAGAGCTTAAGTATCCTCATCCATATCCATCCTGCGATCACAGAGACAGAAAAGGTAGAACTAAGGTCACAGGGGAAAGTAGATAATAGAGATAGACAGAGCTGGGAGCTCAGGAAGATAAGCAGTAAATCAAAACTATCGTAGAATGCCACAAGAATTAACAAAAATAACACCAAAATATTACTTCACATTATTTACATTGGGGTAACTTATTTATTCTATTGATGCCTAACTGAAGTGACAGCTTTGGAGACAGGGAAAATCAGCACTGAGAAATTCTGAGCATCATACAGGTGATGAATGACGATACTCACAGACAAGAGAGAAACATAAGGACAAGTATCATAGGGAACATCAAAGTAAAGAAAGAATGAAAAATAAAGTTAAAAATCAATGATGAAAATATAACCAGACAATGCAAATAATGATAGCAAATTAATAGTCTTAGCAAAGTCATTAAGACTGGAACAAAGACAGATAGTAAAACTAAATAAAAAGGAGGAAAAGGAATGTGAAACAAAGCAAAAATTCTTTATGATAATGAAAGAAATAAGAGAAGTAGGTGAGTGAGAAAGTGAAGATGACAAAGGTGAATGAAACATAATTTCAAATAAATCAACAATGGATAATAAGTAAAAGATACAAATAAAAACGATAGGACATTCTTCCTTATTTTTATAAACATCACTCCTCAATGAATGGGTGAGAGATAATGGCTGGACTTTTATCAGATTGACCAGGTTCTTGTCCAACAGTAGGAGAACTGGTACTGAATGCCTGCCAATTCCATGAGGAACATCGTCAGTCCTTCCCCACAGAGGGTGTCTCTGTCAGTGGGCATCGCACCAATCATGGGTTCTTTCTTAGCTTTCCTAGCTCTCACTCACTCTGAACCTACCTGGATGGTCACAGCATCCCCACCTTGCTTTGGTTTTTTGCTTTGCCACCCCAGTCAGTAATTCCAAGATCATAGTACTGCCAGATTACAGTAGCATTTAGAGTGGACACAAAGTCAAGAAGCTTGTCATAGTTGGCAGCATGCCTCAGTCAAGTCGATGGGATTAGCCTTTGTTCACGGGTTCCTGGTACAGTAAGTCAAGGGCAAATTCTAACAGCAGTCCAGGCCCTGTTCAGGGCAGTCAGAATCAGGGTCCCCACCTCATGAGGCATGAGAAGCCAAATGACAGGCAGCTCATCACCTGTCTTGACACTTTCTGCCCTATTGTGGGCTGCTTTCTTCATGGAGTGTGAGAGATGGAGGTATTATTTAAGCTGAAAGTTGGTGACACAGTTATTACTGTGGTGCAGATGAGGAGGTGTCTCAGGCAAGTGAGTTGGCGGCGCTAAGGTCGTGCAGGGTTATTGCTGTTGGCATTGGGACGTGTAATGGGGAAGCAATGGCCTAATGGTATTATCTGTTAAGCCAGAGACCCAAGTAATGTTCTGGGGACAAAAACGGAAGTTGCTGGAAAATCTCAGCAGGTCTGGTAGCATCTGTGAAGAAAAATGTTCTGGGGGCTCAAGTTCAAATCCCACAAGGCAGATGGTGGATTTGATTTGGAAAACACTCTGGAATTAAAAGCCTAATGATGAATATGAAACCATTATTAATTATTAGAAAAACTCACCTGGTTCACTAATGTCCTTTAGGGATGGAAACTGTCATGAAACTAACCTGATCTGGCCTATATATGACTCCAGACACACAGCAATATGGTTGACTCTTAAATGCCCTCTGGGCAATTAGGGATGGGCAATAAATGCAGCCTAGCCAGTGACGCCCTCATCCCGTGAATGAATAAAAAAAAGCAAGTGGGGAAGGTGTTGCAGGCAATGGTGAAAATGATAAATGCATAGTGGGAGGTTGATACAGTGGCAAAGTGAGGGTGAGGTATTAGAGAGGAGATAGTGACACTTACTCTGGAAGAGGGGAGAAGGTCTTCTTTCTACAGTGCGGGGCATTCCTCCAATCTGGGCAGCAACCGCAGACCAAGTTGGCATGGTCTGGTGTTCATGACTGCTGGTCCTTTGGGATCGAGGGAACCCCACAATAGCATCACTCTATCCAGCATGGCCTCCAAGTCCCTGGTCACAGAGCATAGTGCTGACTTCCCCCATCTGCCACGTTCGGGGCATATGTCAACGAGCATGCAGGGCAGCTCTGGACTGACAGTGTTTGTCCAGGTGCATAATGGGCTTTCAAAGAATGCATGGGCACAAGTATTGCTGGTGTTTTGATGGATATCCACCAAGTGGCGAGTTGTTTGGGAAGGGTGTGTGGAAAGATGGGGCAGAAATTGAACTTAAGAGACATTATGCAAGAGGTAGGTAATTAATGAGGCAAGTTTGTTGCAGAGATAATGGGTACACTGGTGATAATTTTCCTGGAATCCTTAGATTCTGGAGCAGTAGAAGAGGTTTAGAAAACTGCCAATATAACACATTTATTTTAAAAGGGAAACAGAAAAAAAGGGTTACTGTAAGCTAGGTAGCTTAATGTCTG